AAGAGGAAAGTGATCGATGATGTAGAGTGTGCCTAAGGAGAGTCACATGAAGAGAAAACATTCTCTCAGGCTTTCACAGAGAGCACATTGGCCAAGCAATGGCCGTGACTCATCCACATGGCTGACACTGACAAAGGTTCTACAATCTGAGGTCAGGATAAATCCTGAGGGGATTTCACTGACCTTATCAGACCAAAAAGCTACAACTCTTGTTGCATAGGTCCTGCTTTACCTTGGTCTTAACCATCCAGCAGAAAAGTATACAAACGAAATATAAGAAGTAAAGCCATGCTGTTATGTTGAGCAATCGGGGACTCTGGTCAACAGTTTCTGACATTGCCAGTCAAGTGGAAGACCCAATACTATTATGGGCTACTGGACTCTTAGAATATTTTGCTGAGTTTACACAACTATAATATTCAAATAACAGAACTTAACAAAAAAAGGGGATACAAATGTCCATTTTGTATCTGTGTATTCAAAGTGGTTAGGATATATAGTTACATTCTCTTAATGAATAGAGGGATTTGTTCTAATGGTGTTTGTAAATAGGATCTCAAGTCCGCATCTTGCACAACAATTAACCACTAGGAAGAATGTATGCAATGTGTTCATTATTGAAACTGTCCTACCAATTTGATTTGAAACTGTCTCATTGCTATGTGTTTCTCAATAAAATTATGGGGGAAAAATAAAATACATATTTGGTAGAAAAAAAAGAGATGAGCTGGATACCAAGGCTGTCATTTGAAAGATAATGACAAGAGTGACTTGAATGAACCATGACATAAATGAAATAGACATTTTTTCATGTGAAGCCACTGAGATGTGGTTGGTTGGTTAGTTACCCCAACAAATCTTTGTTTCTCTTGACTCATTGACTAATGTTGAAAATAGTAATTGATGCTACTGCTAATGGGAGACTCTAAAATACAAAAATAGCTCAGCTGAGGTGGGATGAAATGAAATGGGGACCTTAAACATGGAAGATAACAAATTCTTGGGTTACTTTAGCATGATACCTATGAGGGAGAGAGAGACAAAGAGACAGAGAGACAGAGAGAGACAGACAGAGAGACACAGAGACAGAGAGACAGAGAGAAAGACAGACAGACAGAGAGAGACAGAGAGACAAAGAGACAGAGACAGAGAGAGTGTTTGCCAAGGTCTTTATTTTCTTGATGAGCAAGGATTATCAGAGATCAAATGGCTAAGTTCTTGACTTGCAAGGCAAATTTTTCTTGCATAATATAATAGTAAAGCAGTTGTTTAAACATCAATGTAGCTTTCATTGGAATTTCTACAATGTATATACCATATTGGATATTAGACTTGAGAGAAAAATGTTACAATATTGAAATATTTTGCTTCTCTAATTTACAGCAACTCATAAGATTATTCTGCATTACAGTGTTCCATTTTGTTATAGAACACCCAAGTTTTTCTTTCTAGCTTCTTATTCTGTAATAATTTAGATTTTTGAAAGTCTTATTGATCTATCCTCTTTGCCTACAAGAGTCATGAAGCAGAATCGCTGTCTTTTTCCCACTCTGTAGTCCATATCAAATACATAGTAAATAGAATAATTATTGATTGAATGAATATATTACTTCCTGTAGCCTTCACAAGAGACTTTAAATGTCAAATGAATGAAAAAACTAATCTATATAAAATCTGAGAGACAACCTCCAGGTAGGGATGTGTGTGTGTGTGTGTGTGTGTGTGTGTGTGTGTGTGTACTTATACATACCTTTTCTAATTATGGTCAAACAGCAAGTACACCATATTACCAAAATCTTTCGCCTGTGTTTTCGAAAAGAACCAAGGGCTGGGGATGTAGGTTAGTGAAGTAGCACTTGCCTAGCATATGTATGGCATGAATTTGATCACCAGCATCATTCACACAAAAAGAAAAGAAGAAAGAAAGGTGGAAAAAGAGGGACAGATAGAGGGAAGGAGAGAGGTTGGGAGAGAGGGAGTGAAGAAAGCCTGTGTTATCATTGTTTCTTTATAAAACACTTGTGTTGCATAACTACAATACTTGGAATGGAAACCCCAAGGACAGAACTTTCCAGGTCCTCTCTGGGAACTTAGGGCACTTCAGCAAAGTCCAAGATGAGAGAAAAAACTTAATGATGACTTGTGTTTCAACTGCCAGCTCTCTTTGCCTGGTTTACAAACCTCTTCTATCCTCACAAAATCTTTTTCAATCAGCCAAATTTCCCAGTTGCTGTTTCACGTTTCACTCTGCTATTTTTCTGCGGTAGAAGCTCTTGGTCAGTGAAAGAATTTAGAAAGATGAGAAACAGAAAGAACAGGGGGCCAGAAGTAGAGGAGAAAGCAAGGAACATTAACCAATCATCTTCCCTTTGCAGTTGAGGTCTGATTCTCGTTAGTCATCTTTTTTATTTACTTTAATGCCCACAAGCAGATCAGCAGTCATTTTATGAATGATCTAATTCATGCTTATTCCAAGAAGAACAAAAGCTGAACAATACAAGAAAAATAACCTAGCCTTATTCTGTTTCCAAATTCATGGAAGGAAATTATTTCTTATTATTAACTTACATGTTATTTTCTTTTCCTTGTTTCTTTCCTTCCCTCCCTCTCTTTCTCTCTCTGCCACTTCCCTCCTTCTTTTTTTCCCTCTCTGTTTCTCTAATGTTTCTCCTCCTCCTTCTCCCCTCTCCTGTTGTTTCTCCCCCCTTTCTTCACTTGTATTAGTCTTCTCCAGCAGCCAGAACAAAACCCAAAATATCACACACGGGGTGGCTCAAACAAAGAAAATCCGTTTTTCATTTTCTTACAGTTCTGGAGGCTGGAAGTTCACAGTAAAGGTTCTAAGAGTTGGTCTTGCTGAGGCCTCTTTTTCTGGCTGTGGATAGCAGCTTCCTATTGCGTACTTGCCTCCTCACTATTTCAGCCCACCCCACACACGTTTCTTCCTCCAATAAGAAAGTCTCACTGGGTTAGCCATGTCCCTCTACCTCCTCATTTTACCTTAATTACCCCTCAAGTCTCCAAATAGTCACACTGGGAGGTGGACTTCATCCACTGAGTTAGAGAGACTCAATCCTTAATACCTTTGTAAGCAGACATAGTTATACCTAACTTTGCTAGCTAAATGACTTCAAACAAGTCATTTAATTCACCTTTAGTTTACAATTTTGTAAAGCAGAGGTAGCAAGCTGGCGAGGTCAGGCTGTGCCAGTGCTCCTGACAGGGGCTCTGCTCTCACCCAGGTGGTGTGGGTGGTAGTCCAGATGGGGGTCAGACATTCAGTCAGTGAACACACCAATCCTAAACCATCACAAGTCAGCTGAGGAGCAAGTTTGAAAAGGTTGGTTTAGTATGGCTGGAAGGACGTGATGAGGCAGGGGAAAGGGATAGCTGTGGGAGGCCAGAGGAGAACTGTGGCCTCCCTGGCCTCTGTGAGCGCAAAGGAGAAATGCGGCATGCAGGGAGGTAGAACACAGTATGTACAGGACAGGTCACGTTGCTTACCTGAGCGGGCACCAATGGATAATATGAATCTTGAGCTCCTTTCATTGCCTGTGCCCATATTTGAATGAAGAAAAACAGGATGAGCTAGGACCTGGGCTCTTGCACCCACTAAGGGAGTAGCCTGGCTCCTTGCATGTTAGGTGGGCTCAGGGCTCCTGGGTCACTCATCTTTGTTCACCTCCAGGGAAGGGGAGCCAACTACAGCAGGACTAGGTCCCTGGAGGTAGCACAGGAAGTGGGGTGGGGTGGAGGAGCAGATAGGGAACTGCGACTACTGGCATAGTCCAGCTGGTTTGCAGGAAGACACATTTTTCTTCAACTCACAAGGATCCTCCAGCCTCAGCCTCCCAAGTGTTGCGATTACAGACATGCACCACCACACCTGGAGTAAGACTCACTTTTAATATTTTTTCTTTCTTTTTAAAATGTATTTAGGACAGGGTCTCACTATGCAGCTTGGACTCATAGTGATCCTCCTGTTTTCAGCCTCCCCAGTGCTCGGATTGTAGGCATGCACCATCACTCCCAGACTTGGTCACCAGCTCAGCGCACCAGGACAGGGCCAGCATGGCATGTGGGATCATGGATCAAACCCTAGTCTCTGTGCTTGCCAAAGCTGGCACTTAGTCCACTGAGCTATGTTGCTGGATCAAGACTCACTTTTAGTGGTCACTTTTTATTTGCTAAAATGTCCTAATGCCACTTTCAAAAAACGTAAGCCATAATTTATGGTCACACTATGTCAAGTGTAGGTTAAAATACATGCACTAAAACACTTTAAAGTCCAGGCCTTTTTAACACAAAAATCTAAACAGGGCCTATTTGTTGGACATTCGTTACTTACAAAGAAAGCAGGCTTCCAAGGAGATTCTTATCCCATGATTTGCATAACAAGACACTGAGCAGACTAGGAGTTAAGGCACACCTCACCTCAGGCAGGCTTTGCCTCACTCGCCTGTACAGATCATGTGTTTTTACACATGGCAGTTTTGTGACAATTCTGCAGCCAGGAAATATATTGGTGTCATTTTAACGGTAGCTCAGGTGCTGTCTAGTATTCCGCAGCAATAAAGTATTTTTCAACCAACGTATAAACTTTGTATTTTAGACATAATGAAATTGCACCCTTGACAGACACAGTGTGATGCAAATAAAACCTCTGTAGGTACTAGAAACAGAAAATCCATGTGACTTGGTATGTTTGGCATTTTCTTTGTTGCAGCAATCTGGAACTACACTCACTAAATCTCCAGCATCTACCCTTACTTGATGAAAGAATCTTACCATGTAAGAGCAAAGACCACAGGAACCTGCTAATGCAATAATACATTGACCAAGAGTGTAAATATTTAAATCACACACAGTTAATTTTAGTTCCTAAAATTTTGTGTTCATTACAGAAGTGTTTCTCTGGAAGTGTTCAGGAAAATATTTGTTTATTAGGACATTTTCTGACATCCATGTAAATATTCTTTGTACTGTTGTGCACCATCTAGACAATGGACTAGTAGAAGAGCTAACCCAAAGAAGCCCAAAGTAAAGAGAAGAGGACGACGCTAAGAGAGAGCAGGATGAAAAGAGGAAAAAAGAATCACTTAAAAGAATGTAATTCTCGGGCTGGCCAGATACTTCAGCAGTTAAGTGCCTTCTTAGGCAAGTGGAGGGAAAGGTTTCTATCCCCAGCAACATGTGCAGTGCCGGCCTCACCCCCAGGCATGCTGAACCAGTGACAGAGTCTGGGCATAGCGGCGCACGCCTGTAATCCCAGCGCTGGAGAAGCTGAAAACAGAAGGATTACCGTGAGTCCGAGCTGCATGTGAGACCCTGTTCCAGACACGTTAAAAAAAAAATGTAATTCTAATGGCTTCTTCAGTAAGATAAGACTCTTTCAGCTGCCTAATTATTTCTATGGTATCTGTGCTTATTGATTAAGAAAGAGAGAATCATAGAAATACATAATTTTACAAATGATATTTTCCTGGGTTTTTTCACTCAGCTTTAAATCTTTGTAGAAAAATCTTGGATAGTTTGAAGAGACAGGGTGTTGTTAGTTATTAACATGGCGCCTCTCAGTTTATACCTGACCGTACTGAATTGTATGTGAATTACCTTGTATCACAGAAGACCTTTATATGTAAGACTAAGTTTTACGTGAGGGAGGGGGGTATTTTGAAGAATATTTGTAAGTTTAAAGAATAATAATAATTGTGGCTTGCTCTTTCCACTTATTTCTAGATGAATCCTTCTATCATAACTCCAGAATCTTTAAAATTACAAAGAGGAAAGATTTGTATTATCAGAGCTTTGTAGTCTATTCTCTGACTTTACTAGATTATTATAAAAGAACATATATTTTCTCGATAGTCTAAATTAAACTGAAAAATTAAAACATATTTGATCATCTATAATCATATATATATATATTTGTATTTAGTGCAGGGTTTTCAGGGTTTCACTATGTAGATCGGACTCATAGTGATCCTCCTGTTTACAGCCTCCCAAGAGCTGGGATTACAGGCATGCCACCACACCCAGTCGCAATTGCCATCTCGGCATGTCCAACTGGTGAGGCTGGCACAGCAAACCCAGGGATTGAACCCTGGGCCCCTGTGTCTGCCTAAGCAGGTACTTTAATCTGCTGAGCTATTTGGCTGGCCCTTAAAATTTTAACTATTACATTGCACAAACTTTATTATCCCCTGTTCTTTTCTCATAGTTCTTTTTGGTGAATATTTTGCACTTCATTTTATTCTATTTATTTGTTTTGGTATGGGGATTCGAACTCAGGACATCCCACTTGCCAAACAGAGGCTACATCCCTGAGCTGTACCCCTGGCCCTTGTGTTTCAACTAACAAATGATTTTTGTTAGTATTCAATGATTAGGTGATAATTTCAACCAGAATCCTAAATTAGAACTAAGTATTATTTACTATTATGAATAATTGTGGGAATATTTTTGTGGGATTTATTTTTTCAACTTTATTTTCAAACTTCACAGTGAAATCAATAGTTACAATTAGGATGTGACCCAAAATAAAGAGCTGACAATACTCAGGAAACAGTCATTAAGACCAATATATATCTAGAAAGTATTATATTTAGCATGATATTATTTTCTGATTTTAAAGAGATAAAAATTCAATGAAAATGATACGAAATTTCAAAACAATATGATACGAAATTAATGACAGTTTTGTTTTGTTTTGTTTTTCCAGAACCGGCATTGAACTCAGGCCCTTGCCCTTGCCAGGGAAGCGCTTCTTCCACTGAGCCATCTTCTGGCCCCAATAGTTATTATATTACATATTGTTATCTTCAAAGTAGTTGTTCAGATTACCAGATACAGGCATGTAAAATGGATCATATAATATAAGCACAAACTGTTCATTTGAATGAACTAATAGAAATTAGCAGTACAACAATCTTAGGTATTTTGTGTGCATATGCATATTTTTTCCCTCTTCCTTCCTTTCTCTCCCCCCCAGTTATTTCTTATTGAGCAATTTATTTCCCTTTCATTATATATATATATATATATATATATATATATATATATGTATTATATTACCTTTTGGATCTTATTTACTCTTTCAGTTATTTACACTAAGGAGACAATATGAAGTTTATACATGTAATTCTGATTTACTTCACTTACCAATACTGCCTCTAGTTGCATTCATTTGCCTATAAAAGCCTCTAGTTTGGGCTGGTGAGATGGCTCAGTGGTCTAAAGCACCTACTTAGAAAAAGCTTAGCAAAGCACAGGGACCGCGGTTCAATCCCCCAGCACCACATGCCGGCCGGCCCCACCCCCTGGTGGGCTGAGCTGGCCACACACACACACACACAATAAATAAATAAACAAATAAATAAAATTTAAAAATAAATAAAAAAAATAAAAGCCTCTAGTTTATTTTTCATTATAAATGAGTAGTACTTCATTCTATAAAATATCAATTCCTTGGATGATGGGCATTTGGTTTTTTCCAAGAATTAGCTATGACAAATTGCACCACTATAAACATGGGTACACATATATCACTGGGGTATGATGTTTTAGTACTTCTGGGAAAATACCTAAGAGGGGAATAGCTGGGTGGAATGAGACCTCTAATACCAGTTTTTTAAAGGACTCTCTACACTGATTTCCACAGTGGTTGTAGCAGTCTGCACTCCCACCAAAAGTGGAGAAGGGTCCCTTTGTCCCCACAGTACCTCCAGCATATGTTACTGGCTGACTTCTTGATGAGAGCCTTTCTTCCTGCAGTGAGATGGAATCTCATTGTTGTTTTAATTCACACTTCTTGAATGACCAACGCTGTTGAACATTTTTTCACATTTGTATTTGCTATTTGTATTTTTTCATCTGAGAAGTGTGCAATTTTGAATCTAAACATTGAAGATATTCTTTTTTTTTCAAAAATAATACACTGCATATATTCTTCTTAGTGGTTAATTGCTGTACAAGATGCGGACTTGTGATCCTATTTACAAACATCATTAGAACAAATCATT